CTGTTGTCCTTTGTCTTCTGAGGAAACTCCTAGTGACATTTGTTACTTTTGAGCATCTGCCTACACAGATTTTAGCTTTTGAGGGTGGGGTTGTTCCTAATGAAAAGCTGCATGATTGAAAGCCAGGTTGGTAACCTCAGTTCTGTTCTCTCCTTTTGAAAGTTCAACATATTATTGTGCTTGTTGTTTCTTTCTTTTTTATTTATTTGGGAAAGGGGGAGGGGGAGGGAATAATGGGGAATTGGTAAAGGGCCACAAAAAGTGATTATATTGTATATTGCTGAATATACTAACTATCCTGATTCAAGGATCACATATTGCACACAGGTATTGATAGTCAACTCTGTACCCCACAGATATGTAGAGTCAACTATGTTACAATAAAAAATTTTTTTTTTTAAAAAGGAAAAAGAAAGCCAGGTTTGGCATACAGAATTTTGTTCAGTATTAAACTTCCTAGAAAACTCCAGAAGAGAAGTTTTCATTTATATTGGTACCACAATGAATTTTGTTCCTTATTCTCAAAACTTAGTTTACTGTAGTTACTAGTTGCTAGAATTTATTTTAAGAAAACCAGAATGCTAGGAATTTGTCTCTAAGTTTATTGGGGAGGGAAGGAGGGAAGAGGAGGGTATTTTATCTCAAAACTTACATTAAGAGCCAGTGAATATTCAACAGAAAAGTGGTTGTGGTTAATTTTAGGTCCCTCTGGGTGGGCAGAAGCAGGGTGGAGCACCCACCTGATTTCCTCCATGTGGGGGTCTCTAACCCAGCCCTGAAGCTCAGGGTTCCTTTAGGTATTTGAAAAATTGGGTAGAAGCCATGGTCTTTGGGCTTGGGTAGTCACACGGCAAGGGAGGAGACAGAGTGTCAAAGCCCAGAGTAGCGGCAAGGGAGGAGACAGAGTGTCAAAGCCCAGAGTAGCGGCAAGGGAGGAGACAGAGTGTCAAAGCCCAGAGTAGCCGAGGAAGCAAGCAAGTCACAGGCCCCTCCTTGCCGTGACCTCCAGGCCCAGCCTCCGGCGTCAGTGTTCCAGGGCCTCAGAACCCCCCTTCCCAAGTGTTACCTGGAAGCCCTTAATGAGCTCCTGTTACTGCTTCATCTTCTAGCTGCAGCCCAGCGAGGCCTTCTGAAAGGTCACGTGCCTCTCCAATAGCACGCTTAAAGAGCTATTGTTATTTTCTTAGAGAGCCTGTGGAAAAAGAGGCTTCTGAGGAGCCGGGCGGACCCTGGCCTTGGCCAGCCTGAGCCAGGCCCAGAGAGGCTGGGAGGGGCCGAAGCACCTGGCTTCTTGCCCTCTGGTTCTCAAGGACATATCTTCTTTTCGTCTTTAAATTGTGCCCTGCTTAAGGAGGGGGTGGTTATACAAAGCCTTGAGAGTGAGATTCTTCGCACCACCCTCCCTGCTTTCTTCTGACCATACTAAATTGTAATATTACTGCTGTGTGTCAAGCAAACTTTGGGGAAACTGTACTTCATTTTTAAGTAAAAATGTGGAGTAGCTTTATTATGTTGCATTTTATTCCTTCTACAATTTAGATAGAATTAGGATAAAAAAAAAATCAGGATTGTGTGTCTTTTGCTGTTTTACTGGGTATGTGGAGCCAGTTTTGCCTTGTAATATGAAATAGGGAAATGAAGGCAGACCTGCTTTGAGACTTACTCTATCCTCTGTTGGGGTCCTTATTTACACATTTGAAGAGCATCCAAGATACGATTTGTGTATTTGTTCCTGCTCACCGATTTTGCTTACAAGGGCCCTCCACCCTTACCTTCCAAGTAGCATTACAGATATCTTATCAGGCTTTTCCTAAATCATTGGGATTAGCACACAGCTGTGCCTTGTAATATGAAATAGGGAAATGAAGGCAGACCTGCTTTGAGACTTACTCTATCCTCTATTGGGGTCCTTATTTACACATTTGAAGAGCATCCAAGATACGATTTGTGTATTTGTTCCTGCTCACAGATTTTGCTTACAAGGGCCCTCCACCCTTACCTTCCAAGCAGCATTACAGATATCTTATCAGGCTTTTCCTAAATCATTGGGATTAGCACACAGCTGTGATCAGCTGGATCATTGTAATTGGAAATTAGGTGCTTCTCATATTGAAATCTCTCTGAAAGTATCTTTCAGCTATGGGCATTCTGCTAAGTGCCTGCATTATCACATGTTCTGTATGCTTTTTAAATATATGAGTTCTGTAGATTCAGTGATTATTTCTAGCAAAACATGTTGTTGAAAAGGACCTGTTGTTTATTCTGGTAACAAGTCTTGAAAAAACAGTCCTACATTGATGACTAAAAGAAAAGTATACACTCTCTTGCCTAACTAAACATTACCTCTCTTCCAGAAAATCAATAAAAATTCAAATGGCGATGAGCTTACTAATTTGTTTTTAGTTGTATTTTGGTTTACATTTTGGGACAGTACTTCTCAAACTTTCTGTGATGAGGAACCGTCTTGTTTTTGCTTTATCCCCCCAATCCTTCATGGACTTAAATAAAACAAAATAAAAATAATTACTAGAAAAATGAAATGAAAATACAAGATGTAGGCAAAAGAATCTCCATTTTAAAAATTAGATTTACAGACATATAATTACTCTATAAATCTGCTGTATAAGTTTCTAAATAATACAGTATCTATATCTGCCTCATCATGGGCTGATAACAGCTTGCAGACTGGCATTGTCTATGGACCAAACTTTGAGAAACACCATTTTAGAGTGCACATGTATGTATTCGTGTACTCACATAAGTTTAAATGTGTTGGCATGATCACATTATAACATGACATAGATCGTATAACAGGTTCATATGAGAATTAAATGTACTAAGTAAGCTCTTTGTCAAAAGTCAAAATTTTCTGGAAGTATTTAAACACTCAAAGTGTAAGCAAATACAGTTAGTATAATTGTGAATACAGTTATGCATTTCAAAACTCAGTTATCTAGTAACACTTCTGATGTGTAAAGTAGAAGGTGTTTTGCAATGTGAAATGAAACCACCTCCACTCTGATTCACCCTGAGGTTTAAATGGGCACAGATATTTTAGGTAGGGAATGTTCTAGCAAAGTAGATATATATACAAATGAGACTTTTAGCTCCAAACAGTAGGAAATAATGTCTGTCACATTAAGTATTAGATAAGCCAGTTGTCACTATCATAACTTCCTGCCTGATTATGGGACTGGTCTTTAGTCCTAGTGATTGACAGCCATTTTCTCAACATTTGCAAAACGAGGAGAAATGTTTCATACCAGTAACTCCATGTTCTTTATAAGCAGTAACAACTTTCAAGCTGATTCTGACATCAGTTGGTTCCAGCTATCTTCGCCTATCTCTTCTGGAGTCACCTGAGGCTTGTGAGGTCAGTCACCCCACCTGGACTTGTATGCCAGGCCTGTGACCACTGGTTGTAACAAAGTATCTGAAGGAGGTTCTGTGACATTTATATTCTATTTAGCCTTATTCCTTTAGGATGAGAGTCAAAATTCAAATTGATGATGAGGTATAGGAGGAGATACGCAGTCTCTTGAAGATGAGACTCTATTGTGTGGGACTCCCCGTTGTGCCTGGCAGAGTGCCTAAGACAGCGTAGTTGCAGATAAGTTACTAAAGGATTGGATAAGGCGTGATCAGTCAGTTGAAGCAATTCAGTAAAAGGTAAGTAGCATGTAGAAGAAAAGTTGGGTAACTACAAAACAGTTGCTTGCACAGTATATGAAGGTATCAGAAAGAGTGAGTCACATTGAGGAGGGAATTAACACGTGTCTGCGTGTGAGTGTTGTAGAGAGAGTGAGGGAGCAAGATAGGCCTGGCTTAATTAGAACCATGTATTCTGGTCTGAACAACAAAAGGACAGCTTTCTTGATTAGATGGTTAGAAAGTGAGGTCTGCGAGACAAAGGGTAATGAGCTTGAGATTGTTCTCTTTGGACAGTAGAACTTCTGAAAGAAGGTGATGACAGTGTGATCTTGCAGAGTTGGAAGGACCATTCTCTAGAAGGTGGCAGCCAGCTGAAGACCAGTGTTCACTAAGGCGAAAGAGCAAGTGAGGCCACAGCCTGTGCTGTGAGCAGCAGGTGATGTGGGGCAGGAGTTCCTCTCTTTGGTTTTAGAGTTCAACTCGTTACCAAATTCTCAAAGCCTGGGATGTGAGGTCGTTGTTCCTTTGAAATACATGTGTATCTCTGGAGTCACAGTAGGTATTTTGTTATGAAATGTCTCAAGTACCCAAACAGCAGTGCTTATAATCAGAGCAAATTACTTTAAAATTAATCCAGTTGCATTCAGACATAACTGTGTGCAATGAAATTGAGCCAAGGAAAAACTTGGGCTAGAAAATACACGTTGCTCTCCTTGATTCTAGAATGAAAAGCAGTGGCAGCTCAGTCACTGTGGTCATTTAACACAGGCCAAGTGCTTCACCACATATCACCAGGCAGAAAGGCTCTATGCGTAATGAGGAAGGAAAAAGCATTTTGAAAGTAGGCACAGTGTACATGTTCCCCCTTTTCTAACTTGGTTCTTTTAATCATTCGAGATGGGTTCAAGCTGTAGTTTATGACACCTATTTTGCTTAGGTCATAGCATTGTAAGTGTTTTCTTGGGCTTTAAAAATAAATCCATCTGGGGGAGGGAAATTGAACCTGCATGTTAATGTTAGGCATGCGAATGCCAGCACATGAGCTGTGAGAAAGTCAAAATCATGGTTTCCATGGTAACTCTTAACTTGTCTGTGTTGTACACATTTCTCAAGAAATACATTCACCAGACACCTAGTGATAAAAACTGCTCTGCAGGCATACAGAGTAGATTGCCCGATTCACTCCTGTTCTAAAAGATCTTCCCCCAATTAATCCGTCAGTTCTAAACAACCCTGGGGAAGAAACTGAAGTCCAAGTCCTGACCTCCAAGTCAGTGGTTTTTTTTTTTATGGGAGGAAGGAGCAGCTGTCATGTGATTAATGCCATGTCCTTCCTTTCTCCTTTGCAGATATATGTTGGGTAAAGGAGGAAAACGGAAGTTTGATGAGCATGAAGATGGGCTGGAAGGCAAAATCGTGTCTCCCTCTGACGGTCCATCCAAGGTGTCTTACACCTTACAGCGCCAGACTATCTTCAACATTTCCCTTATGAAACTCTATAACCACAGGCCGCTGACAGAGCCCAGCTTGCAAAAGACTGTTTTGATTAATAACATGTTGAGGCGGATCCAGGAGGAACTCAAACAGGAAGGCAGCCTGAGGCCCGTGTTCCCCCCCAACTCCCAGGCCACCGACTCTCTGAGCGACAGCTACCGGGAGGCCCCACCCGCCTTCAGCCACCTCACGTCCCCTCCAGCGCACCCCTGCGACCTCGGAAGCACTACACCCCTGGAGGCCTGCCTCACCCCGGCCTCGCTGCTCGAGGACGACGATGACACTTTTTGCACTTCCCAGGCCGTGCAGCCCGCGGCTCTTACCAAACTCTCACCTCCAGCCCTCCCGCCGGAAAAGGACAGTTTCTCCTCCGCCTTGGACGAGATCGAGGAGCTCTGTCCCACATCTACCTCCACCGAGGCCGCAGCAGCAGCGACTGACAGTTCGAAAGGAGTCCCCAGCCAGTCCAGCACCCAGAAACCCGAGGGGCCCCCAGACGGCCGCACGGATGACTCGAAACTCATTGACTCTCTGCCTGGGAATTTTGAAATAACAACGTCCACAGGGTTCCTGACAGACTTGACCCTGGACGACATCCTGTTCGCAGACATTGATACGTCCATGTATGATTTTGACCCCTGCACATCCTCGTCAGGGACAGCCTCAAAAATGGCCCCTGTGTCAGCCGACGACCTCCTCAAGACTCTGGCCCCTTACAGCAGTCAGCCCGTCACCCCCAGTCAGCCTTTCAAAATGGACCTCACTGAGCTGGACCACATCATGGAGGTGCTCGTGGGGTCCTAGACCCACGGACCCTGCGACTCTGCCCCCCGGCCCCTGCAAGCGTGCCCACACCCTGACAACTCTCCGCACTGTGCATGCAGCCTTGCTTGCCTTTTTCAGAGAAAAAGAAAAATTTCCAAAAGAATCACACTAGTTTTTGCTTTGAGCAGAGTTGGAGTGCCTTCATCCAAGTATGACCACTTTTAATACGTTTTTTTTTGAGTGGTTCCTCAGAGACCTACCCTGTAATAGGAAAGGATACATTTGAAGACAATGTTGCTATGTTGAATGACAAAAATAAACAGTTCAAGTGAAGCACAAGGATTAGGTTGGAAAAGCTGTAAATTGCATGTGCATATTTGTCTATTTTTTCTATAAGTTTTATTGCAAGAGGTAAAATATAAATATATATTATTTAGATAATCTCAGTACCTTTTCTGGCATTTTCGCCCTGTGTAGGTTGACTTGGCAATTAAGCCTTTTTAGAGGCATTAACTACTCCTCGTAAGTGTTGCATTTACATGGCTGTTTAGAAAACTGCTGCCCAAATTTATTTTATATTTTTGTACAGATTCTGCAGTTTATGATATTGTTTTTCTAAAAACAAATGCTGTTTATACATATGAGATAGCTATTTTGATAGGATTTGCTCACATAGTTCCTGCAAACTTCAGATGTACAAGTTGCACTTGTACTTTTATAGAGTTGTAATGTTTTATATGTGTATGGTGCAAGAGAAAATTAGATCAAATCAATCTGCAGTTGATATCCCCAAATGCAAACACACATAGACACATACAGACACACACACACACAGCGCTTTAAGAAAGGACCAGGTGATATCACACCCTAATTTCACAAGCACTGACCCCCCTGGCATGAACACCCGCCAGTACTGTGACTTCCAAAGCCAGAACCACGTCTGCTCATCAAAGTTGCATTAAGCAATTGGCGGGAGATGCCCATGGAGCTCCAGGTTTAAGTGGTAGTTCTCTTTAGCTCCCTCTTTTGAGGGGAAGGCTACTGTCTTATTTAAGAGTGTTTATGCCAAGTTTGTGCTTTTAATTGTTTTAATTTTTTTTTTTTTTAATGGAAACCCATATCTTTCATTTTTGGCATAGTTTTTATGATGACCTGAAATTCTACATCTGAACAAAATGTTATGTAAAGCAACCAACCTCTTCATGAAACTAAGTCCCATTGCAATGCTTAGGGCTCTTGAAGAAGAAAATCGCCCCAGAAGGCATCCCATCATGTTGCTAAATTGTCTTTTCCAGCTTCCCTTCCCTAGAGCTTTTGTTCCCTCTGTTGCTAAGAGCTGAAAATGGCATCTTCATGATCACCACAGTGAGCTTGGCTCACCTCGGCCGGCCCGGGACACGCTCTTACAATGTCCATGACTCTTGAACCTGGAGTTCGTCATGTTACATCACGGCTTCCCATCTGGTTACTTTCTTAAATCAACTGCTTTAACTACACTTTACAAGGCTGTTTTATCCAAATACACAGACAGGACTTTCTATGCATGTTTCCCCTCCTCCCCCCGCCCCCCACTCCCAGGACACACTTGAGAAGTAGCTTTTTATTCCTAGTAGTGTACATTAATTTTAAAACGTTTGCAATGTATCATGCTTGTTGCTGAAAATTGTTTATGGCCTTTTCGTTTCACTTTTTTCTCTCTTCCAATGGTACTTTAGCTGTTGATGCAGGTTACAACCTATATTGTTATGCAGATGGCTTCCTTTAGGAATAACTTTTATATTTATTTAAAAATTTTTAAATTATGGGATTTTGTTTTTTTTTGTTGTTGTTTTTGTCTTTGTTGTTGATCATTTGTCAATATTCTGTCACCAATTCTGCTCACTTCTTGCCATGGATAAAATTGGGTCTTTCTGGCCAATTAAAAAAGACAACTTTATAAAATGGCACTTTAAACAAGCCATAGATAGTTTTATTTTTATAGTGCACACGGCAAAGCAGTTTGTCAATATTCTGTCACCAATTCTGCTCACTTCTTGCCATGGATAAAATTGGGTCTTTCTCTGGCCAATTAAAAAAGACAACTTTATAAAATGGCACTTTAAACAAGCCATAGATAGTTTTATTTTTATAGTGCACACGGCAAAGCAAATACATTTGTGATGAAGGAACTGCTCATCTAAACAAAAGATTCGTGTATGGTATGATTTAATCTTTCTGCATTCTAATTTACTTTTTTCCCCACTTGAATGTGTTTTAAATACTAATTATCAACTTGGTAGAGCAGTGAGAAACTGATCAAATTGCACTTGTTCTTCTACAAGCAACCTCCACACAGACACCTCTTACTGCTGCAGATGTGTCATTTCCTTTGATAGGACCAGGGACCATACAATTAAGGTGAGGATTGTTGTAGATACTTCCAGTGTCACTGTGCCTGTCCATTTTAAGAGCTTCCCTTTCTTGTAGAGAACAAGTCTGCCCAGACTCCATGCTTTTTATATAACTGGAGGACCCGGCGACCTCGCCACGTGCTGCACACACCTACATACGTACACGTGTACAATGATAGTGTTGGTCATTCTGAACAATAACAGGGTAAAGCAGTTGATTTGCCATTGTTACAAGCTGATTTACAGTAACTCAGAACAACTGTACTTTCGTTGGATTAGCAAATCGTGTGTTTAAACAAATCCCATATGTTGGGCAACAGTTCAGATAAGCACAGAGAAGTGTTGCCCAAACTTGGTTCTCTGACTCTCATGTATTTGTAAGGCTGGGCTTCAAAATCAAAACAAAAACCCCCATCAATAGCAGGAAAATGCTTTTTAACTCTGACACCGTTGCCCTAAATTCTTGATAATGAGTATCAATAAATCTGTTGAAAAAGACATGGGAAATCAGTGGCCCACTTTCAGAAAGAGCAAAACCATTGAGGGTTCAAATTGTCTTGGTGTCCTGTTTTTACAAAGTGATGTCCCGACAGGGAAGAGTGTGAGCCAGAGTGGGATCTCCAGGTCCCAGTTTGAGTGTGCTATGTGCTTCCAGATGCCACCTGGCAGCAGTGCCTTCCCCTTCATAAAAGATGTGTGGCATCCAGAGCCAGGTAGGCAGCTTGAGGTGCCTTTATGAGAAAGACATGCTGGCTGGGGCTGGGAGAGGACAATTATTGACAGTGATGTGCAATGAAGTGACAAGATGAGAGCAGAATCCTAAGAGCTTTGAATTTGAAGTGATTTTTTTCCCATAAGTTATTTATTCCTTTTTTCTGTGTAAATATATTTATTTTTCTGTGATGCGCTAATAACATCTGGATCGTAACGTGCAGAATGTATGGTAGGAATGTATTCTCTTGTAGGAATGTAAATCTGTATTAAAAGGGGGTCTGAGGCAGACCCCCTGGGTCTTCTCATCGTATGCACAGTCCACATTCATTTTTACTCTCTATTCTCTAACATGGGTCTATTTGAAATATGCAAAAGGTATAGATGAGGAATGTTTAATACCTCCAAATTTTTAAGAAAATCAAGCATCAAAGGGTTGGTATTTTTTAAAGTTTTTTTAGTAGCACTCTCTCTCTGACAGAAGGGGCAACCACATGGGCACCCTCATTCATACCAAAGGGTGAAAAGTGGCCAGAGCCTCCTCAACACCTCTGGAGTCTTTATCAATTGAGCTTTTTATTGCCATAGCCCCTTGGAGTGCCCCAACTGCCCTGAGGTCAATCAAGGAAAATTTCTTAACTAAATAAGCTCCAAAGAGCCAAAGTATCAACTTACAGATCATTTTTAAAGCTTAAATTTATTAACCACCTTTGCAGTAAATAATGAATTATGAATACCGCAGGGCAGCCTTCTTAAATGACAGATGTAAAAAAAAAGAGACTGCTTTGTGCAGCGATTGTTATTCTATTAAGAATTGTCTTAATTTCAAAATTTTGCTGTTTTGAATTGGACATTTATACATTTTCTGAAAATATTGAAAAGAGCATATTTAACCTATTCTGGCTGTAAATGGTTAACTTCCTGTAACTGCCACGCACCTGGATGGCAGCAGCTGTGTGAGTCCTGCTTACGTACAATTGTTTTCAGTGCTTCTAGGAATGAGTCTAAATGGTTCTTGAAAATTAGCCAGGGTCAAATGCTATTGCAGACAAAGCCAATACAAATTTTGGACTTCTTCTGGGGATAACAAGTTTGGAAGAGAAGTGCAGGCCATATGGGCAAACGACCGAGATTTTGCAAAAGATGTACATAGTGACATGTTTGGTGCATGGTTTTTGAGGAGGGCTTTTTGTCAAAAAAGGAGGTGTACCCTTTCCCCCACAGACCTGAGAGCTGTGCCTTTTCTATGCAATATTACAGACATTACATCGGAACCCAGATGGCTGTATTCACATGTAGGTTTGGGCTGTAATCTAAACAGTTGGACAGATTAAATGTACATGGAAATGAGCAGTCTTACTTTTGTAGTTTTATATTATACAATAAAGAGTTAAAAGATGAGAGGCATGTTTGCAGTTTCTTCTGACCTGAGCACAACTGGCTTGTCAAGTCCATAGGGGCCAGTGCTTCGGTTCCTGTTGATCTTCCTGAACCTTCTTGGTCACAGGAACCACCTCTCTCTGCGTGCTCCTCCTACCTCTTGGACACTCCTTGACCTTCTCACTTCTGTGCCCCAGCTCTCTCTAAATGTTTTTTTTGTTTTTTCCTGGGGCTTGGCCAGTGACCAGCTCTTCACCAAGCCTGCCCTCATCCTGCTGCTTGCTTTCCAGAGGTGGTCCAGTCCACTCAGGACTCAGAACTCATTTCCAGCCCCTGCCCAAGCTCTGGACTTCGGTGTCTGCCAGGGTTGGCCATCTCACGCTCGGCGTGTCTAGAGTGATCTCACTTCCGACAGAGGTGGGTCCTGCTGCAGGCCTCCCATTGGTCCTGTCACTCTTCTCCCAGGCTGACCACACGCATGGTCTGTTCTCCAGCCCTAGCTCCTGTGCTCCCTCTGCTGCCTCCTCTCCATCCCCACTACATCTTCCCCAACTCAGGCCCACTTCCCTCCTTGCCTTGGATTGCACCTGCTTCCTAACTAGTCTTCCTGCCATGATTGTTTCTCTGACATCCCTGACTCTGGAATCGACATTATAAAGCGCCGGTAGTTCATGTGATTGTCACACATCCTCCAGAAGTCCCCCTGGTCATACAATCTGGACCTTCCTACCCCATCCTCCAGGGCTGAGTGGGGGAGATCCTGTGCAACCTCCTTGACAGCAGGGTCATCTTTGATGGAGTCGTGGGATCCGGCCCTGCTTGGTCCCCATGGTTCTGGACCACTGTACCAGCTGGTGA